CTTGGCCTCCCAGGGTGCTAGGATTACAGGAGTGAGCATCTGCACCCAGTCCCCACACTCTTTTTTTTTTTTGGCCAGGGCTGGGTTTGAACCCGCCACCTCCGGCATATGGGGCCAGCGCCCTACTCCTTTGAGCTACAGGCACCGCCCAATACTCTTTATTATTTATTTTAGTTTAGTTCTTTCTTTTCTCTTCTTTTTCTTTTTCTCTTTTCCGCCGTCTACAATAAGAAACATTGTACCTTTATCAGTTATTCTCCGTTCCCCGTTCCCCAGTCCTTGGCAACTACTAATCCGGTCTCCATGGATTTACCTGTTTTGGACATTTTAGATGAATGGAATCATATGTAGAATTGTATATGATGTGGCCTCTTGTGACTTGCTTTGTTACATGGCGTATTTTCAAGGTCCACCCATGTTGGATCTGGTACCAGTGCCTCGTTCCTTTCATGGCTGGCTGCTCTTCCATTGTATGGATCTGCCACATTTGCTTATTCATTCATCAAATGATAGACATTTGGGTTATTTTCACTTTCTGGTGACTGTGACTCATCATTTATTAAGTTCTCCCTGCATTCCAGATGCTGTTCTTTCTAAGAGTTCTGTGGCATCATATCCGTGAGCTCTCACACCAATCCTGTGAGGTAGCTGCTATTCAAATCCCTTTCATGCAGACAGAGAGAGAGAGACGGGCTCAAAGCTTAGCCTCTTGTGTGGTGGTGTCTGCATTAGAACTCAAGTGACAATTGGACTTTCTTCCAGGGCAGAGCATTTTACGTCCAGAGTGAGACGGCCCAGAGCCCCATTTCCCTGGGTCACAGAGGACAACGCCGCTGAGTTGGTGACTGCTCCCTTCAGCCTGTTTGCCTGAGTGCACACCATGAGCAGAACCGCAGGGGAGCTACCACCATGATGAGAGTGACTGAGAAAGGGACCTTTGTTCTGGGCCACCGGGAGGTGGGGGTGGTTTGTGGTGGCAGCAGAGCTTCGTTCCCCCAACGGCCCTCCTGTGAGCTGGGCCCCACACAGCCTCTGCTCACAGGAGCGAGTCCAGGCTTGCATATGCACAGACACAGCTTGGGTGTATTTTTAAAACAATTAGTTAGGTGCCAAATTGGAGAAAAACCGAGATCAAGCTGTGCGGCTTGAGTTTCCAAGGGATCGGCATGTACATTTTGGGAGCTGATTTTCATGAGAAAAGTCTGTCTGTGTCGTGGCTGAAACTTTACCCAGGCGTGGCTCTCTCTTGGATTAGCCTCTTCCTTGAGAACAATCATTCCACTTGGCAGATAATCAGAGCCAACAGTAAGCATTTATTAAGAATTTACCAGATACTGTGCTGAGTGCTTTTCACATATTTTATCCTCCTAATCACCCTAAGAGTTAGGTACTATTATCCTCATTTTCCAGATGAGGAAACTGAGGCTCAGTTGGAAGAGGTAGAGTTTGAACCAGGTCTGTCTTCTCCCTGGAGCTCATACTCAACTCTCCACCTTTGGCCTCTAAGGTCATCTTGATAACCTGCCACTGATTCAGCATCTACCTTTGTCTTGTGCTGGAGTTCACGGTCATGTCTTTTAGGTGAGACTGATCATGGTATAGTAAGCAGAGCCCAGGATTGATAATTGGGAGCCCTGAGTTCAAGGTTTAGATCCAGCTTTAACTTACTCCATGGTTGAGGACAAATTCCTTCCAGTTCTCTGGGCCTCAGTATCCAATCTGTGGAATGGGACATTTGGACTAGATCAGTGGTTTCCATTGTTGGCTATGCATCTGAACTACCTAACAAGTGGGTTAAAAATAATGATTCCTGTGTTGTATGAAGGGAGAGAAGGTTAGCACTCCCCTTGACAAGGATGGAAGAGGCCCTCGGGCCTGACAACATGCTTACAGGTAAGGCATTGCCACCTACTTTGTGTCATCTAACCATCTTTTTTATGTCTGTAACTGCTGTAAAAAATAATAATAATAATAATGATTCCTGTGCCTTTCCCCAGACCTGCTAATAGGCCTGGGAATCCTGAGTCCACAGGCAGATTCATACCCAAAACAAGCACTGAGAACCTCGCTTCTAGGGGCCCCTTGATAGCTTAGCCCCTGTGAGTTTAGGGAGGCAGAAAAGATCAACTCAGTAACCAATCGGGCAGCTGAGTCAAACACCAAAGAAAATAGTCTAGAGGTAGTATGTTTTGGAAGAATCTAGAAGAGAAAGAAGTTGGGTTGGATAGTGGAAGTTCAGAAGAAGAAGCAGAAACTGGCTTTGATTCATTTTAATGGTTTCATTTTTTCCTTGGAAGGAAAACCACATTTCCAGGGAAATATAGTAAAACCATACTTCTCAGTCCCTTGTAGTTAGGAGGGCCCAGTGACTGGATTCTGACCAGAGAAACAGGTAAACATGATGAGCAACAATTGTAGATACAACCATAAAATTCCTGTGGAATCCTCCCTGCTCTCTTCCCCATTTGTGGTGGACTGAGAAGTGTTGATGATAGTAGCATTTACAGATGGAAGAAGTAGGAGCTCCTGTGGCTTCATGAAGCAGTGTATTGTGGGCAATAAACTTAGACTATGTTAAGTCGTGGAGACTATGGAGTTGTTTGTTATAGCAACTAGTAGTACTTATCCTTACTAATATAGTCTGGAGGAAGTGGGACCAGAGAAGGCTCTTAAAAGGTAAGATTGGGACACATAGTAAGGAGGAAAAAGGCATTCCAGAAGGGAGAAATAGCAGGGGCTAAGGGGTGGGAGCTGGGACAGGTATGATGTGCTTGCACCCAGAGAGAAATTTAATCCTGTTGAGCTGAGGGGTATGCTGGGTAGGATTTGAAACCAACTATTTCCCAACTAGCAGTGTACTAGTACCAGCTCATTTTGGCTCATGAAAAACAATTGTTAGTATCTTTCCCCAAATCTGTATTCAGTGATAATGCTTTGATAGCTGAAATTGGCTGTGGTGGGAGAATTTACACCATGGCAAGTGGCAAACACTACAAGTCAAGGCTTTTTTCATCCTATTGTTAAACATTTATTGGCACACTACTGGTTGTAACCCCTATGAGGCTAGGTCCTGCCTACCTGGGCGCCAGTGAAAAGACCAAAGAGCCTGCAGCCATTTCTAATCCTTGTCCCACCCCTTCTGAGCTGTGTGGTCTTAGAAAGTGAACATGACATCTTTGAACCTCAGATTCCTCATCTGCAAAGTGGGGCTGAAAATAAATGAGATCAGGTGCGTGCAGCCCTTCCTGTATCCCCTTAGTTGCCACTCTTGTGCACATGACAGCCAGCCTCCTACTGTAAGAACTGGTGACTCTCCCATGGTTTTCTCTGGCCATGGGGCAGGTGCCCCCCAATGAGTGGCTCAGAAGAGCAGGGTTGATGTTTCTGGGAGCATTTCTCTGCCAGAGCTGAGTGCGAATTGGTAGATAAATATCTCAGCTTTCTCTCCCCTTTATCGAGACAAATCTGAGTCACGTTCTACAAGTTTCTCAGAAGTCTCTAGCATGATTGAGCCTCAGTTGTCCCAGCTGTAAGCTGCCCATTAGCACACCCTGAATTGGTTTCTTCCTTCCCTGCCTCACTTCTCCACCTTGCTTCTTGGGATCCCTGTCCAAGGGAATTCCTTGCTCTCTTGTCATTACCTCAGGGGCTGCTTCTGGAGAACCCATCCCAGGGAGCAGCCAAGATGACCAATGAGCAGAATTACCTCTCATGTGTATAGAGATCTGCAGTGAGTGAGGTCATGCCAGCCACCAGCTCAGTCCCCACAGCAGTCCTAGGAGGAAGGCAATAGAGATTATCTGCTGCATTTCACAGATAGAGAAACTGAGACTCAGAATACTGGTGATCAACACACCAATAGGAGGCATGTTCAGCTCTGGCTGTTCTCCCCTGACTGGTCAGGCTGACTCTGGCCCCAACGTGGGCCTGGAATGGTGAAGGACAAATGGGCTGGTGGTAGGAATGGCTGGTTATTAAATCTACCTATCACTCAGCAGGTCTGACCCCACTCTGTCCCAGGAATGCCAGTCCTGTCTGGGTCTGGCTGGGGGATTGGTGGGTAAGAGACTGACCCAGGAGGCTGCTATGTGGGGCCAGTGTAGGGAATGAGGTTGGGAATGGCCCCTAGATATCTGTGTCCCCACAATATGAGGGCAGCCAGGGCCACAGGGATAATGAGAGGGGGAGGCAAGGGTGGTGTGATGTACCCTTGGGCAGTGACCTGAAGAGGGGCCTCCTGCTTTGGGCAAGGGGGTGTCTCTGCCTCTAATCCCCCCTGGAAGTGATGAACCCACCAGATCCAGGTTCCCAGCCCCAGAAGACAGGAGTCAGGGCAATACAGTGGCTGTGACACAAACCCTGGATGTGCCAATGGGTGCTGCCTGTGTCTCAATTTCTCCCCAGGCTGTGTAATGATGGTAGGGCCAGATCCTGGGCTCAGGCAGACCTGGGTTGGAATCCAGACCACACCTTTATCTTGCCAACTTTAGTTTCCACATTTGTAAAATGGGGTTGATAATAGCACCCATCTCATGGGAGGGATAGAGCGAGGATTCAGGGATAGAGTGTGTCTAACATGCTCAGCTCAGAGCCTGGCACATGGAACATTTGTCAATTGGCATCAATGATGACGACACAAGTGCCTGCTGTGTGCAGGGCTCCGTGCCCAGTGCTCTCCATGGACTGTCTCAGTTACACACTACCACCCTGTGGCGGTGGAACTCCCAGCCCACTTCTCCCAGGGAAGGAAGCTAAGTCAAAGAGGGGAGAAGTCATTGGCCCAAGATCATATAGCTGCTGGACAGCAGAAGTTGGATTTGAATCCAGGTCTCTGTGCCGGTGGGGGGGGGGGCTGATTAGCAAAAACCTGCATTCCTTCCTCTTACTTCCCCCTTCCCCCTCATTATGAGGTTAACAGCTCATCTGTCTAGTCCTTTAAGAAATACTGCTGGGTGAGGCTTTACTGGAGGTCCAGAGAAGGTAAGGGACCAGGCCGAGGCTGCACAGCAAAACGGGGCCAGAGGTAGTACTAAAACCCAGCACCTCTGGCTCTCTGGCCAGGCCTTGGGCCCACCTGTGAGAGACCATTCAGGACTCTGGATGTCATTTCCAGTTCTGCTCTGGTCTCTAGAGGCCCTAAGCTCTGATCTCCCCTCCCAGCCCCACCCCCGTTTCTTTGCAGAAACATTCCAGGCCCCATGGGAGCTCCTGAGCTTTTCTTCCTGAGGCCACCGAGGTGTGGGATTGAAGTCTTTTCTCATCCACTGAGAGGTAATTTGCTTGGAACATGTTGAGCACTTTAAAAATTTGGTCACATTGCAATGCTTGAGTTACCATGGTGACCTCACTTTGAATTTGCTTCCCAAGGGAAGTTGGTAATAATTAATATAGCACTTAGTGCTAGCTGCCCATAGTGAAAGTAGGGGAGGAATATGGAGCCCCCTAGATCCACTACCCCAGGGGAGGTAGTGCGTCCTCCTCTGACTGGGCAGGGTCCTGGGGTTCCCCAAAGAAGAAAGGAAGAGAGAGGACCTGTCAATGCCGCCCACCCTGTCAGCTGCCCCAGCAGCCATATTGTCAGAGCTGGACTAGTCTATATTGGAGAGTTCCCTTTCCCAGAAGGGGAAATTGAGGTTCAAGGAAGGGTAAGTGACTTGTCCAAGGCCACACAAGACCCAGATGGCATCAGCACTGGGCTGGAAGGCTGATTTCCTAAGATCCAGGATAGGGCTGTGGATGCTAAAGTGGGAGAAGTCCAGTTCCAAAACTTCTTTCTTCCCTGGTGCCCCGAACACAGTGCAGTTGACCAAGAAGGTGGCAAAAGACCTTTGTTCATCATTGCCCCATTCCATGCTAAGTAAGTTACAAGATCATCAGTGTGCAGGCGACCAGGCTCTGAGAGAGTTTGCAAGAGGGAACTGGTAAGATTAGGATGGGCACTGGAGCCTAGAAAGGAGACAGTGGGAGCACTCAGGCAGGGACCAGCCTTAGACATTTCTAGTGGAGAGCCACAAAGAGGGGACAGAGCTCTGGAGGGGCTTTTTTTGCATCCCACACTCCTCTCCATCCCTCTCCTCCCCATCATTTCCTGGTCTCCACACACTCCAGCTTTGGTAGAAAGAATAGTAGAAAGACATACAGTAGAAAGAACAAGAAATCCAAGTTTGACTCCAGACTGCATTCTATTTTTTCAGATGGGGAGAGTGAGGCTCAGAGAGGCCTTGCTGAGGCCCAGAGGCTCACAGCCAGTAAGGGGTCAGCTAAGATTCAAACCCATTATCAGTCCGAGTATAGCTGCTTCTCTCTTACCCATTGCCCTTAGGCAGTTTCTCTATCCTCACATTTCTCCTGGCTGGGCTGAGGTATTGGGGGTGGGGGGTAGTGAGGGGTATTAGCTCCCATGTAGAACCTGAGGCTCCCTAGGGCTGGTAAAGGGCCAAGAGATGGGAGGACAAAAGGCTGAGACCTTGGGAGCTCTAATTATGGAAGTGGATTTTAGGAGAGGAGTAGGGAGAAAAGGAAAAGGGGACATGGCTTTGATATCTCTGCTCATGTCTAAGAATTGAGCTTGCAGGCTCAGTGCCTGTAGCTCAAGTGGCTAAGGCACCAGCCATGTACACCCAAGGTGGCAGGTTCAAATCCAGCCCGGGCCCATCAAACAACAATGATGGCTGCAACCAAAAAATAGCTGGGCGTTGTGGCGGACGCCTGTGGTCCCAGCTACTTGGGAGGCTGAGGCAGGAGACTCGCTTGAGCCCAGGAGTTGGAGGTTGCAGTGAGCTGAGATGCAACGGCACTCTACCCAGGGGGAAAGCTTGAGGCTCCTGTCTCAAAAAAAAAAAAAAAATTGAGCTTGCAGTGCTAAAAACAAACCTGTGACTTTGGTATGCTGCCACCAGGTGGCGGTGTAATACGGCTACTCATATCATCAGAGGTTAA